TATATATATATATATATATATATATATATATATATAGAGCTAATATATATACATATATATAGCTCTGTCGTACTTTTATCGTAAAAAAAGTGCGACATTAAAATTTCATGTATTGGGTCGGAACAAAAGTTCGTGAAACTTCGTTTGCTTGAATGTTAAAAATTAATAAAATTTAAATAAAAAATAATTTTGAAGCTTGAAATTTTTTTCGAAAGGTGTTTGAGTTTCTATGAGTTGGGTAATTTTTTACCAAATAAAAAATTTTCTTTTTATTTTGTAGGACTCTCACTTTTTTGTGCCCAAAAAAAATTGCAAAAGTTTCGATTTTTTAATCAGTTTACAATTTTATAACAAAATTGTTTATTGAAAATAAATTCTTAAAATTTTTTAATATTAAGTTATTAAATAGGTTAATAATTGTTTACAAATCGTCAAACTGCAATTAAAACAACATTCTTAAGCTTTGCTTTATCGAATTACATAATTGCGAATTATTTAAAAAGAAAACAGACATGATAAATAAAATAATATGTTACTTTTGTTCCAACCTAATAAATAGATAGAAACTATTTAGTTGACGCTGTGCGGTTTGGATGATTGAGATAAGGCGAGGATATAATCCATTAGAAGTTTTTTGCAGATTGAGGGAGAGAGAAGGAAAGAAACGCATTTATATTGTTGTTTTAAGGCCAGGCCCTCTAAAGACAAAGAAAAATTGTGCAAAGTATGTTGAAGAAAAAGAAAGTATGTATATCTTTCCTTTGAGTGTCTAAAATCTATGCGCGTAGAATTTATATAGTAGATGAAGAACAACATCATGAATTATTGAACAATTTATTCTTTAATAATCCCGCGATGTGGATTTTCACACGGATTCGAGAAGCAGCTCTATCGAGGCATTATACAAATTGAAGGATACGAAACGTTGAAAGCATGCTGGCGCGACGCATCGATACCGTTGAATCGCGACGCGATGGGTATTGCCGAGAGTTTCATCTATTCTTCTTTCTCCTTTAGATAGAAACGTTGCGTCGCAGTGAGAAACCGGTGCAAAACCGCGAGGGAATGATGTACAGGATACAGAAGCTAGCCGGGCGTGCGTTATTAATTAATACAACGGAGGGCAAGTTCGAGAGGTGTGACTTTTTAGCCGAGGGCTCGTACATACCGGGTAGGTATCTCGATCCGTTCGCTTTGATTAGGGTCGCCTCTCTCCTCCTTTCTCGCCTTTAATTCGATAAATATTTTATATATAAATATTTGTACAGAGAGAAAAAGAGTATTAGAGGAGAGAAAAAGAAGCACGAAGGGAAGAAAATTGAGATAGCATATATATATGTATACACGTAGAGTCACATAACAGACAGACACACACAGATATATGTATACACGGATATTATTATATAAATATATATATATACATGTATATGTATGTATACACATATAAATATGTGCCGTCTCATGCAATGAGACGAAGAGATACATGTACACGCGGACACTGCTGTAAATGGTTGTAGTTATTTAAATAACTATTCTGTATATCGCATAGTATTTAATACGATTATAATTATTTATTAGAGTCTAAGTAATTTATTATTGCTTTGCATTCCAAGAGGATCGGAGACCACGGGACTATACGATTAGATAAGCGAACGTCTTAATGTTAACGGTGCTTTTCTAACAGAGCCGATGTCGCATAATATAATTTACAATGGGCGAATTTTCACTTTCGGGTGTAAAAAGAAAAAAAAACAATGAGCGTCGCGAGAGGTCCATCGGGCAGATCTCTCGCGCATAAACGAATGCAACGTACACGAATTATTACTATCTTCGATCGATATAACGTATTTAAGAGCTGTCGCGAAACTACCACTATTTTGTACGCAGGGCACGTATGTTCATTATTAGGAACACGTTCGTCATTCGCACTTTCGATCCTTATTAAATCATTGACGTACAAATCTTTTTAGATACCTTTACAACAAAAAAAAAAAAATATGCGCGCGCTTGTCGTACTCTCGTGCGGCTCCTCGGGGCGGAATTGTGAACAAAAAAAGTGCCTGATTGGGAATAATTCATCGAGGATAAGAGAAAGTTGCGTATATTCGTGCGAGAAGAAGGATAGGAGGCTTTAGGCGAAGAAAATGAGAAAAGGAGAGAAAGAAGAACGGAGAAGAGAGCGAAAGGTGTGATTAAAGAATGCAGTATACAGGAGCGTGTGTTAACCCGTGTTCACACCATATGTGCTTACCGCTTTAGCGTATATAGCGACGCCTTTACACTGTGATCACGTTTACAAAGAAAATAGTCTTAAAGCTAGAAGATAGACGTAAAGGTATATATCTTAGGGCAAGCGAGAGTACGACGAGCACAGCCTCGAGTGTGAGACAGGCGTTTAGACACCCACGACGAGCCACCCACACCCACCTTAATTCCCTCGACTCCCCCCCTCCCTCCACCTTTCCACAATTTATTTATACATACGAATAAAGATATATTTAAATCGATAAGAATGGAATAAAAAAAATATTGTTGATGTTACTACGGTGTAATGGGTACAATCTAAATACATGAATATTATGTATATAAGGAATAGAACGGAGAGAATTTTTATCGTACATGTTTTATTCTCTTTCTTTCTGGCTCACCAGTCTCCAACTTCCCTGCAATAGAATCCAGGCTTTGTGCGTGACGGCACGCATAAGCTCGCAATTTACGCGTTCTATTACCTCGTCAAGGATCTTAGAAAGTTATTATACACAACACTTTTCAATAGTTACGATAACGGAAATGTGTAGATAATAAAATTAATTGGTTCATATCTTTGCATCTCAAAGCGATATTCCAAAAATAGTTGCATTACATTATTTATTCTGTAATTTGGATTTAATATCTTAGTAAAAATATATCGAAAGGTTTGTTCAATTGTAAGTTATTTAAAATAGAAAGCTTTCCGCAAGAAACAAGATACTAAGTATTTAAAAGTAAATAAACTGTCGTTTGTGTTTTATTTCAGAGAAGATCAGCGTTAATTATTTTATTTTTTAATTGAAAATTACTTAAGATAAAAGGCGTTTTACAAAAATTAAAATATTTTTAAATTATATAGAGTAAAGAGATGTAAATAGTTTAGTTATAACTTAAAGCTATTTTTACATTCCTTTTTTCTATATTTTAAATACCTTATAACTTAAAAAATAGAATATTTTTGGTGAATTTAATTTTAAATAAAATATTTAAAAATAAATGACAGAGTTTGTACTTTTTATTAGTCAAAGGTAATTGGACTAAAAGTTTATATGTGAAATAATAATCTTTCTCATGTCTTTACATCCTTGCTAAAAAAAGTTGACATAAATCTGTCTAAATCTGAACATCTTGATGTATTTTATATACGTGACATTTCCCGGATATCGCAGGTTCTTCGTATGTGTTGTCTCCACCGTTTCCAGGAAAGAAATAAAGCCCATCGATAAATGTTATAGTCTTACTTTATTGCTTGCGTTACCATGCGTTTATGAATACAGAAGCGCTTTATATTACAGTGTTCGTCGTGTTAAAGCTATCAGAAAGAGGAAGAGAGAAATAAATAGAATCCTCTGGACACACGGCCGTGTCGGTCGTTGCTCGAGTCGCCCTCGAGCTCCGGGACACGGCAGGAGACATCGCGTCTCCTCACTACGATTTTATTAATTTACCAGGAAGAGTAAACAAAGAGAGAAAGAGACAAGTTGCATATAAACTTGACCAGACGCAGTTATGAACAAATTTCAATTTGTTCATCATTTTATTGCACTCTCTCCTTCTCTTACATAAAGTAATTTCGGTTCCGCGCCAACGATGCTAGATAACTGTTTTTATAATTCAGGGTAATTTCTCTAATTGATCTTCGAAATATCAAATTGCATCATCCAGATGTTATAGCACCATATATTATAATAATAAAGGAAAGATCGAATGATATATCGGACAAGACTAATCAGATAAAAATTATTTAAAATTTTGAAGAGTGTGGTAGCATTTGCCAAATCACTTTGGCAAATCCAGCTATGAAAACCAAGACCTCGTCATACAGAGAATAAAGATATTATTTGTAAATTATTGTGCATTTGGTTGTGTAGCTATTGTTTATACCGGCATGAAATTAACTTTACCATCTAATAACATCGTTATACATTGTAAGTCAAATTTTGTTTTCACACACACAGTTTATAAATATTACTGAATAATAATTAACAATTCTTTCGTCATTCCGATAATCATAACGTTTGGAAGGAGATTTAAAATATTGAATTATATAATCCGCACAAGTGACGCAGCCGATCCAAAGTATGAGTATTCGATTGCCTGGTTGTCGTAACGAATTACACTACATTACACTTAAAAATATCCAGTTACAAAATAGACGCAGTTCGATCTAATGCTTAGATCCTATTCCCCAGAATGTGCTGAATTCTTCGTCAAAGATGGACGAATTGAAGACAGTCAACAGTATCTGATCTGCAAGACTGTGTCTTCGGAATTATACTAGAATATGTTATAATTTTTATTTAACTCGACGAGAACATTTCAGAATTTTCCCGTGAGTTTCTTCTCGCGAGAATGAGAGCGAAATCGATTCTGCTAGATCCTTATTAGATTCTTATTGTTGGAACTCATCGAGAAAATCCTCGAAAAAGGAAGTACTGATTTTAGTTCGTTCGAATATTTTCGTGCGCAAAATGACTCCAAGTCCGGAATTCATCGTCGATTTTTATATTTACGACTGTCTCAAGCACAGTCTTAAGATATCATAAATCAAATCAGAGTCGCATTAGCATCTTAAAACATTACTTAAGACGATCTTAAAATAAGAACGAATTATGAATACTGGCAAAAATTCATAAAGAAAGTTAGTGGACACGCGAATGTCCCTATATGACAGATCTAAGAGTGATTTTCATAGTTCGTTCTTATTTCAACACCGTCAGAAATGATGTCTTAAAATGGTAATACAGCTCTCAGAGATTGGCTGATGGCATCTTCAGATCAGACTATACTCAAGACAGTCTTAAAGATAAGATCCGACTACGAATACCGCCCTAAGAGTGCGTCTCGGGGATCTTCCGAACTGGGGATCCCCGATCAATCGGCACCCTGACTCTTGTGACTGAGAATGGTCTCAATGTTACGTTGAATCCGCGCGATTTGCGATCGCTTACTCTTCGGCGTCGTTGTGCCCCCCTCTTCGATGTACAAGTTGCCGGCTGCTGCCTCCGGCCAGCCAGCCGCCGCCGCCGTCGCTGCTGCCGCTGCTGCAGCCGTCGTCGCTGTCGCCGTCGTCACCACCACCGGAGTCTCCCGTTTCCGGTCTGCAAGCAGAGTAAACGAATCTTCACCATTCCCGTTGGTCAAACGCGAGCGTCTTATAAGTTAGCGGACAAAGTGAGCAGAATGGATTTTAACTTAACATTTTTATTTGTCGCGCTATTAGTTTTCTTTTTAAATAATGTTCCACTAAAGGAAGATTAAGTTAGCGGAACATTACACATAGAATAAAGTCGGTCGACGTAAAAATAACGTAGGATTTTGTTGCTCATTCGTTGTTGTCGAAATATGCAAGTTATGAATTTGTTGCTTGCAAAAAAGGTATAATTGACAATGAAAAACCTCAGCGTACTAGAGAAAGAGCAGAACAAGAGTAAAATACCAGTAAAAGATGTGTTGCTCTCGTAAAATTGGTATTAAAATGTCGTCTGAATTTGTTCTCGAGAGAAATCAAGGAAATTATGATATTAATAAGATATTAGTGCAAATTAACACAAGAATTAAAGTAGAATTAAAAAGATCGTGATATGTAGGATAAGAAACATATGCATAGGTTTAGGTTTAGATAGAAGATTTTAAGGATATATAGGTAATAATAATTGTTACTATAATAATAATTGTATTGAAATATGAAAATGGATGTTCGTAGTTATAACTACGAACATTACATTTTCATATTTCTATTTTTAATTATAAGTAAAACTGTAAATCAAGTTTTTCCTCAACATATATAACCCAACACTAACATTATTTATAACATTGTTATGTTAAAAGAACGTCAAAATGACGATAAACAATACAATTTGTTTGCTGGGAAGTAAAATTTCTTCTTCTATACTATATATAATATTGTAATATACAAGTTGGGACAAAAGAATTAACTCGCTTATTAGTCTTCGTTATTTCCATATTTTTAATCAAAAATGATCTCGTTTATGATACTTGAATAACTCGAAATGATTAAAATGCAATCCGCGGCGAGGCTCGAGGGAAGGTATACACGCGTCACACGTCGGGACACGCGCGCGTCGCGTCGTATTTTGGGAGCACCGTGTACATCGCGTTACGCTTCCGGTAGCGGCAGGTCCACATATAAATACAACTTCCGAGGCGTGGGAGCGCAATGAAATATTCCGGCCGAGGAAAAAGATCCCGCGTGCGCCCGTCTCGCTTTCCGGCCGAGAGCGTGGCGTATATTGACGCGCCGCGCCATGCCGCGCGCACCGGCCGCGCTGCTAAAATTGGCGACGGATTGATTTTCGGGCTCATGCTCGCGCGGCTTACGCGCGTCAAACTCCAAAGTGCAACAAGGCGACGCGCGGTAGCGAATTCGGTTAGAACTGTAGATATTACAAGAGTAGCTCTTTTATTTGATGGAACGTCGAAAATCAAGTTTCCCTTTTGGCTACATTTTCTCTTTCACCGAAATCATTTATCGCTCAATGAGAGCTGTAATTTTGTAACGACAGTAGAACTCTAAATTGCAAGAGTAACGCAAACGACTGCTATTTTTTATTTATACAATCACAAATGGTTCTTGCCTATAATTCTTTGTTGGATTGCAGAAATTATTGTTAGTCTTAATTTTTTTTATTACAATATTATTATTTGTAATTGTATTTAAAAATTACAATTATATTATATTTACAAAAGCATTTGCGATTAATAATAAAATATAAACAAATAAAGTTTTGTGTAAATGTTCGGACATAGGTACATGGTCTAATCACCAGGACGTTTATCTTAGGATCGTTCTTTCAGCATAAGATTTAGAAAAAAAACGAAGAGTATATTGAACTGATTGTGGGATTAATATGTTAATCTACATCGATGGAAATGGACGTAAATACGATGACACTGAAAGCCCTTAAATGGTTCTTGTGAGCCTGTACCAAAGCGATTCGCCCTTAGGCAAAATTGCAGTGTGGTGTCACAGTGCGAAAAAATCCAACGATAACGATTCTGCAGCAATAACAGACCTATTTTTTTCTGTCACTAAAACTTTGTTTCTCGCCATATTTATAGTCGATTCTTATATTTAAGTAAGACTGTCTTAAGTACAGTCTTAAGATGTCACAAACTCAGAGCCGCGCGTATTAGCATCTTAAGACATTACTTGAGACTATAAATTCTAGATTAGGAGAGTGTGATTTCACTCTTTAGAGTAAGATTCACTCTAAAAATTTTCACTCTATACTACAATTTGATATTTATTTGAAATTTGTTGTTTCTTTTAAAATCCTGGCATCAACTGACAACATCCTAGCAAACAGGCTGACGTTATTTGTCATCACTCAACATAAAAATAATGATAATTAACGTTAGTTTAAATTATTTGTTAGGATATAGATAGAATAGAAGAAAATAAATGCAGGTAAAAATATGTATTTATGTAGGTATATATAACTAAAAAAACAAGGGAAAAACAAAAATTTCGCGCAAATTAAACAAGAAAAGAAAAAAGAATCAACAAAAACAGAAGTGTATATTACAATATATTTAATTCATTGCGTATCTCTGTCTTTTTCACAATCTTACCCATTTATTGACCATCATTATACGCATACTGAAGTCGAACGATGGACTGAACTTTTCTCTCACGCGAGCGTGGGCCTTGTAATCTCAATCTAATAAGCACGAATTTTCGGCAGAGAATAGCAAACAATCTCGCTTGAAAAAACACTTCAACCATTTACCATACTATCTTGTAAACCGTGCTTATTATTCACAAACCCGCCGGCGTTGATGCGACTTCGGCGCGCGCTAAAGTTAGAGCGCGCCGCGCCGCCCGGATGAATGAAGGCAGATAAATGCCCGAACGGTCCGAACAATCGCGTCATTTTGTTTTCGCGGACGAATAAATAATTCTCTCGCGGCGAGAGCGCAGCGTAGCCCAGTCTCATCCCGTCTCGTCTGTTTTAAGGTCCGTCCGTCTACTGCAGACAGCCGTGCCGTCTCCCAAAATACCGCGAAGCGGTGCGATTCGAACGCGTGCGAAGACGCGAAGATCTGCGTTCTGACGTAACGCACGTGCGCGTTTCCCTCCCGTGGCGATCTTCGCAATTTATCACGCGTGCGGATATGCGGTTAGATATTAGAAAGAAAGTGCGCGGCGTCGGTTTCGGCGAAGCACGAAGGTCGAAACTTGACGTCTCGGAAATTCCTAGGGCAATTTATAAAAGACACAAACCTGACGCACGTTTTCAATTTTATGAAAGAACGCTTCCGAAGTTTAACTCTGCACAAATTCGCGAAATTCTTCTTAAAAAAAAAAAAAATTAAAGTTTTAATTTACTTAAGAGCGAAATTAAGATTACGCGGTTGAGAAATGTATTAGTCTAATCATACATACTGAATGACGATGCGTCAGTTTATATTCTGAGAAGAAAACAATTTTTACATAAGATAAATAACAACACGGAACGGTTTTGCTGAAGTATCTAAAAATTCATTTTTACTATATACACTTAGAAAGTATTAAATTTTTTTAAGTAATTAATTTAACTCATCATTTTTTTATTGGATAAATATTTGTTTACTGTAAGTAAATGTTTAATTAATACTATTCAAATAAGTATTTGTTGGAATTTAGAATATTTTTGCTCAGCGTAGTGGTGCACATATCCCTCAGGATCGTTCCGTGGCAAAAATGACGTTACGTATGCAAATATCGCGTATCGTAGCGGAAACGAATGCTTAAAAAATAATACGTTGAATGAAAGTTCGATAATGAGCCACGTGCTGAGTATGGTATCAATACGGAACCTCTTCCTCCTTCCGCAGTGTATAATTTGGCACTCGTGAAAACCTGCGTAGCAGAAGATACGTTCTAATGTCTTGAACACACATCGCGCCTACACTCACTTACACTGTAGGCGTGAACGATTATCTCTAATTGTCTTGATTTTATCACAAATCTCAAATTCGACTTGACCGATCAAAAGTTGATCGGAGTATCCCGGATAGATTGATTTAATGTTAAAACACTCGATCTGCAATAAGTGTAGTGAACCTCTAGCCTTCTATTAATTGTAAACTCTAACTGTGACGTCTTTTTCCGACAAAAATATGTTTTCATCGCTGTCTTAAACCGTGATCACTATACACAGAGGGAATAGTTTTGCTAAAATATCTAAAATTTAATTACATATATAAATCTGAAAGTAATTTTGTTGAATCATTAAAATAATTATGTAGGACATTAAGGAATTGCTAGCCTATAAATATTTTTTTACAGCATTGCTCTCATCTCGTCATGCTTTAGATTTCTACACAATTACTTTGACGATCCAACAAAATTATTTTCAGATCTGTACTTAACTTAAATTTTTAGGAACTTCAACAAAGTCGTGTAAATTCTTTCCGTATATTATAGACTAAATCTAATACTCGAGCGGCGTATTCCCCGCCCCTGCCTATAAAGAAAAAAAAAGAAACAAAGACTTCCGGCGTGCTGACAACACCGGACGGTACTTCACAACGTCATCCCGTGTGAAACGCGCGCGCGCGTGTGAAGCTCATTCAAGTGCGGTGCGAGTTAAGCGAATTTATTGTGTGCTTGAGATTGTCAGCCGTCCCCCGCGCGATCGTACCCGTCCATTTGTCGTCCGGTTCCCCTCCCTCCCGTTCTTCCTTTCGGCGCACAAAATGATCATTGCGAACGTGCACGCAACTACATCTTACACGGCCGCGCGCAATGGAAGTGCTGATTGCAAAAGCGACGAGCAGTATGTAACGACGCAGGCCGAATTTTACGTCTCGATTTTACCCTCGTGCCCGCTGAGGTTGAGCAACGTACTCGCTCATACTCTAAATATTTCTTATGCAATTTGAAACATTAGCTTTTCAAAGTAAAATAAGCGAGTACTTAAAATATTGGAAAATAAATCAATTTAAGTGTGATATATATTTAATTTGTAGGAGACCTAAATTCTTCGTTTAAATGAAAGAAAATATTTGCACTTGAGCGTAAAATTAAATAAAATAGTTTAATAAGAGATAAATGAACAATAATAAACAAAATTTTCGACTAGTATTTTAATATACACTAACTATAGTTAGTACTTATATAATATATAAGTAGAAATAAACCTATTTTATTAAAGTTGGATTTTAAGGTTTGATAATATTTCTGCGTGATTATATATTTCTTCAATCGAAAAATAGTTTATATTTGAAATAATGAAATAATTAAGCAATATTAAATAGTTAATACATTTTGAAATAAACATGCACTTTAGTTTTATAAGAATGACCAACCGGTCATATGTTACTTCCAATTTCTGGCAGTATGTATTTCGAATATGTGTACAGATGTAAGTAGTATATATCTTTATCGCTAAGCACTGTCGAGTATTCGACCTCTATCTAAACGTATATCAACCGCTTAGAGAAGAGTGATGACCAACTCTCACAGGTGGTAACGTCAAGTAGTCGTCGTCGTAAAGATTTATAGCCACAAACGGAGGCCTTAAAATTCTGCTTACCTAAAAGCTTCTCGAGATACTGACATCTGGTTTCGGGATCACCTGGATTCATCGGTGCTCCTGCTACCAATTCGGCCAGTTCCGCCTTCACCATCAAGTTCAATCTGGCTGAGATTTCCTCGAGACCCGCTGCAACAAAAATTATAATCCAATCAACGATGCACCACGTAATTCATCAAAAAAATCATTCTTTCTATAGCTTTATATTATAAATATTCTTCAAATGTTTAAATTATAAAATTATAAATTCAATATGTATAGCGTAATTTTACAAATATTTAAAGATTTTTTACACGTTGTGTTACATCGTTGAAGTCAGATGTTCAATAATTTTGTAATTTTGTTTAAAAAGAACTTAGTATGTGGAGTACCATCGCCTGCGCTCTCTTTGTCTTTTTTTTATCAACTGACATATGAAGCTCTTATAATAACTGACAAGATTACTTCTGAATTAATAACACATTATACAAAATGAAGAATGCAAAATCTTGAACAATGAATCTTAATTACTTTTTGGAAACAACGTTTATGATGAATTATGTAAATTTATAACGAATTTTGTATTTTTTTACTACAATATAACGTTGAGAATGACTTGATCGGAGTCGAAACGTATGTTTATAATAAATTGAATTTATCTGTTAATTTACTGGCTCTTTGCCTTTCTTTATATACATTATTTTAAAGATTTTATATGTATGGATATATGGATGCTTTTACAATTTTTTAAGTATAAACATAAAGTGTATATATTATTACTAATTGTGCTTAAAAAAATTTCACTTTAAATCAAAATTAGGTTTACGATAATCAAATTGTCAATGCAATATACTTTGTCATTAAAGCACAAAGTTAAAATTTGAACTAAAACTATTTAACACAATTTTTGATTACGCACAAAATACATTTATTATATAAATAAAAATATTAACTTAATAATTTTTCACGTAAAATTACAATTTTGGAATAAATCATTCAAATAATTCAATGAAATTATAACAATTACGTAAATGTTAAAAACAACCATAGTAGAAAACTTAAATTTTTTTTTTTATATAAAAGGCTTTCTCGTAAATTTTATATTCTCTCTAAATAAGTCAATCCCAAAACATTTGTCAATTAATATATTATTATGATTAAATATTTTGTCTATATTTATCTCTGTTGAGATATAATATAGAGATTAATATACACATGTGCGACTAAGATGACGTCATCCGAATAAAATCCTCCGACAGCATAAAGCTGCATTTGCAGTACGTACTGCATCAAAACGAGTGCAGTCGACGTGGAATGCGTCGAGGACGTCTGTGGAATGCGGCTCGATTTTCTCCGAAGCCCTATGGTGTATACGTTCGGTTCCCCTAATGGCTCCCGACTCGAGCAGTATCCCCATAAGTCCTCGACCCCTCTTGCTCCTCCGACCGCCATTCCTAATCAGAAGCACCGGGTGGGCCGACCGTCAGCCGCAATCAAACGGTACCGATTACACACGCATGCCGAGCGTCCGTTTCACGGTTGCCAATCATGTCCATTTTGTAAAAGCATAGGTGCGAAAATAACGCAGTTTTTTTTATTCCTTTGTGATGTATATATCAATAAAATCGATAAAAGTTTATCTACGTATAAATACAATGTATACAGTTTGTATGCTGAATGCTGGACAAGTAAAATAAAAATTAGAAAATCAGGTGTGTGTGGTGTGCGCGCAAAAATTTATTTTTTTTAAACTTTAAAACTTAATGTTTTTCCATTCTTTTTTTTCTCTCTCTTCTCACTCTAAATTATATCTTATATTTCAACTAATTTATTAAAATAAAATTCTTATATGCTATATTATTTTTAAAAATACATCTATATATTCAATATTTTTTAAAAGTAAAATCTTATCACGTAAATTTTCCGTATTAAAATCTGATATAGCTTTTAATCAGTCCTAACTGAAACTTAGTTTGCGTTACAAATTTTTTTTTCAAGGAAGAATTTCTCTCATTTCCGTTTATCGAATACACGTATTCACTTATCAATTCATTTATCTGATCATGAAATGTTAATTTCGATAAATATTTCCTTAAAAATGAGTGAAAAGTAACAAAAAAAATATATAATGCTTTCTCCTATTGTTGTTTGGAGAGGATAATGATCACGTTTTAATAATATGAGCTTTCGGCGACAATGCAATGACATGTATTATTATACGAAATACGATCAAAGTTACAGGTAGGATGTAGCAATTGTAACCGTTTTTATTAATATTAGACATATACAGAGTATAAACCGCTCGCTCGCGATTATATCGTGTGTAATTAGTATTAATTAGCTATGTACATAATTCGCGAACAATAAATATTAATAGGATTGCAATTGCAATAAAATCCAACGGGTTTCGCGTGCAACACGCTCTAGGTAGCCTCGAAATTTTATTTTTATATTAGGATGTCTTTCCGAAACGCGGAATAAAGATGTTGTTCGAGTTTCGTCCTGCAAAATGTTGATTTTTTGAAAAGTAATTTTCACTTCTCACAATTCTGTTTTATTTTCGTGCATTATTTTTGTTTTCTATTTGTACATTGCTAATCGTACTTTCATTTGTTTCTTATTGTTTATAGCCTCGTCCTGTCCTAGTAGTTGTGGTATACAATATAATATTTTAAAGATTTTTATCTTGCACTTAAAAAATTAATCAAATTAATTATATATATTTTTTTATTGTAGTTTTATTAATGAATGAGACAGATTTACACACACACATAAAATTCTTCGAAATACAATATTGTCCCAGGAGTATCATATTTTTCGGATAAATTTTAAGAAAACAGTAAGAAGGTCTTCAGGTTTTTGGGGTAAAAAAACATTTTTTTTTTTGCTTTTTTTGAAAGCTTATAGTCTTAAGAATATCCCCCTAAAATGTTTTTTGAGAGAAACGAAAATTGTGCAAATTATACAAGATAAAATGACGTGGTGTTGGGGTCGCGCGATCGATTTAAAGAGCGCGCGCCAATCAATTGCCATAAAGGGCGCTCGCCGTTATATCCAACCTTTCGAGACCATTCTAGAACGTTTCTATTTAATGGAGCAGAGTTTCGTTCCCCTCTGAGAGCCTGAGGGTGCGTTCCACTAGCTTACGGGCGCTGCGGGCGAAATCTAGCAGACGACGAAGTGACCACGCTGACCCACGGACGAACCATATGAGCTCGATGCGGTCGCGATTAATGACGTCATATATAACGTTTTGATCGCGACCACGACGAACGCGGTCGTTATGTGGAACGGGTTTGCGGGCGTCGTGATCGTTGCGGGCGTTTAGTGGAACGCACCCTGAGAGCCACTTTCGTTTGTAATGGAAAACGGAACAACTTAAATTCATCGATATGGACATTCGCTCCTAAACACATTCACTCCGGCAAAGCTATAGTAGACATTGCAAATTTTTTTAGCAGTATGTATTTTGAATGGTGATTACATGAATATTCTGAAAATTATGGAGATAATGGGCGTAATTATTGGCAAATCGGTTCATGATTTGGCTCATTCGCGAGACGAGCATCGTGCGTCCACAAGTTCGAAAGAGGCAAGGATTGCTAATCCAGAGGATAGAGCAGCACAAAAAATGATTTCTATGAAGTAGAGGAAGGTGTCTTATATGGTTCTGGAATAGATTAATGGTAGATTAAAAAATTTTGACATAGTAAAAAATGTTTCATGAAACTTTAAAAGCGTTTTTCTCGAAACCGTGTTTTCGTACATGGTAACCACGATTCCAAAGAAACTATTAGTCCGACCGACTTCTACTTCAAGGGATATACTCGGAGAACGTGTCATTCTCGAATCAGAATTAATAGCTTACGTTAATTTTTTTTATTTTTTTTTTTAATAAATAAGAGGAAAAAATAAGCAAAATACGAAACATTTCTTCAAACTGTCGCGATTTTGAAAATATGCATACGATATTAATTATCCTGGTTCGGACGAGAATTACAAGTCCACTGATTAAGAAACCGCTTTATTTTTTGCTTTCAGACTAACGATACGACCTGTATCATGCTTATCACTTGATCGTGTTCGCGATGTAGACCCAATTTCAGCGTCATCTTTTTACTACTTTGTAAGTAATAAACATTACAAAAAAATATTTTTTTACATGTTCATTGTATGCACTTTCTAGACCTGTATTGATTTTTAAGTATATCCTTATTCATTAAAAAAATTTTCAAAGAATACGTTTAAAATCGGCTGTCAAACCTGAAGGCCCCTTTAAATATTAAATTTTATAAGACCGTACATGTGAGAAACACAACCAATAAGAAATTGCTTTTAACGGTCGAGCTTAGATGCTATTATAATTCCGTGTGAATTTATATACTAGGTATGTAGTCTTTAAACTGCACGCCGAACAATTTTTCGGTTTTGAAACGCAACTTTACGAAAAACTACCGCAATATCATCACGAGTTAAATTGTCTAATAATTTAAGAAAACAGTTATTCCGTGTACAATTCGTGCTGAAATATTTTTCGCGTCGCCCGGACACGCCGTTAATAGGCGCGGCGTGCGTTTCGCCGAAAGTGTAGATTTAAAAGGCGATACACGCGCGCGCGCGCGCGCACCCGCCGCGCCGGACGGACGAGAGGCTTCATTCATACGGCGTTCATTAACGAAACGTGGCTGAATCGGTTCCCACAAACGTACACGCGATACGTAGCGCGATACGTCGGCTCGCAGAAGGAGATGGAGAGGCGAGAAGTAGGAGAAGGAGCGAGAGAAGAGGAGACGTATACAACAGCGACGACGGGGAGAGTTCCTGCGCGAGGAGGAGTTCTGCGTACTGCTCGAGCAGGAGTTTTGCGTTATGCAAATGCAGATAGTAACGTCGTGTACACGTGCAACATGCCGTCGAGTGTCTGCAAGAGTTGTTACGCGATTCCGATTCACTCCTTATTACGTGAGCCGCGATATACATATGGATTATAAGTATACGGTGTCCGAAAAAAAGACACGTGCGTATCTTTTTTCTTTGCACAACTTTGGCTGACGTCCAATTATACGTCCAATGGAGATGAACTTTAATCTCGATTTAATTATTTCTCTACCTGTTTCCAATTTTTTGAATTAGAAGAAATAAGAAGTATAAGCTAAACTCAGACAGATTAAAGTTAGTCTACATTAATGAAAATTTAAGAGCTTTCAAAATTTTTGAACGATTTAATTCAAATTTAATTTCCATAGATTTTAATATATATTTTCTTGTGATATGTGTTGAACATTTCTCGTTAATATTTAATTCTTAGTTTATATATTTTTAAAAAATAGATATACGTGAAAAAAGTACTATTTTTCATCTTTAAAAAATTGATTTTAATAGAATTACTTAATGAAATTAAATATTTCATTGCTTTTGAATTTTATATAGGAATAAGTATAAGTTCTACGACGCTTTACTTGAAAACAGTCCAGAAAGAGTCAGCTCATCGTTACCGTTAATCGATTCGCACTCGAGGAACAATAATGTTGCTTATATTTTGGGGTGTAGCAAACGCGGAACGATAATGACGCGACGGTGTGGGCGACGATACGCACCGTGCGCTGAACGTTGGGAAACGTCATATCCGGGCGCGGTAGGTCGATCCAAGGTGAGGAGCGGCCGTGATCGGCCCTCTAATGAAGAAAATCCCGCCATGCATTTTAAGGGACTTCGTATCTCTCTCTCTCTCTCTTTATCTCTCTCTTTCTGTCTCTCGTCGGACTGCGTGTGTATACGTGCACCTGTATTCTTTCCGCCGACATCCCGACAACGCGGCTCTCTTTGCCTCGCGAGAGATACGGATCCTCTCGCCCTTCCCCATCTCGGAAAGAGAGGTATCGCGGATGCATAGCGATCGATTAGGATAGGAGCATAAATTCTTGTTTCACACATATTAAAGCAGAAGAAAATCAACCGAGATTCTTTTCTTTTACGGAAAGAAAGGAAATGAAGGACTTTAGTTTATTTTCTTGTCCTTATTGGGCGTTATGTAAGACTCTGTTTCCACCCTCATTCTGATTATGTGACGTGACGTCGAAGACTAGGAATGTGATTAAAAATTTTTTTAAATCAAATCCGTTATAAATCAGAAAAAATCGAAACATTTTCGAGCAAATGTTACATTTTCTCTTTGATATTCATTAATTATAAAAAAAACTCAACTGTGATGACAAAATATGTTTTTCAAATATTTTCAAAAATTTTCTGTAAAATATATCTTTATTAATTGTAAAATAAATAAAATAGATGATTTATTTGTTTGTGGAATAAAATTTTATTTTCGCCATATATTTATCCTTAAATAAGGGACTTCCGTAAAATAAACATTATATAATTCATAAATGAACTAAATATTTTTTCAATGTACTATTGTAATATAATTACTGGACTAATTTGTGCTATATGGAAGCTATCGATGATTAGAATATTTGAAAAATGCGACAAGTTCAAGGGTTATAGAAATAATATTATTACTATTTATATGTTATACATATAACAAGTATTTTCTTACCCGGCTCGAAGTTTCTCTTCATCCGCCGCCATTGCCTCGCGTAGACGATTGCCGAGCATCCCGCTACCAGGAAGAATACTATGCAGGCGCATACCGCAAGGACCAGAGCACCGGTCTGCCAGTCCCACGGTAGATTGTCTTCGACGGTCGATTTTCTCCTCTCCCGAGGATCATGCGTCGTCTGCGTCATAAAGTCAACGTGTTAAGACCAGAACACAGATCTTTGTATTGTACAACGCATAATACATAAAGGCATAAGAAAATCAACCAATCGGAGTTTGTTATTTCATAGAAAGGAAGGAAACAAAAGAGACTTTGAAAAATTTTTATTTAATTACATCACGATAAAAGGTTTGTTTCTTATTACTTACTTTCGAAACACGACATGGAATGCAATCGACTTTGGCAATGCGATTCTATACTGCATAGCAAATAGAGCGAAAGCCAGCTTTCGCCGCCTCAAAATGCACGCTGATTGTTTTACATTTATTAATAAGGAACCGTTATTTTTTTGATATGTTGAAGAAATCAATCTTTTATCCTGATATATTAATCAGGAATTAATTGACTTATTGTCAATTGATAACAATAAATCAATAATCATAATCAATTAATTCCCAATTAACGCGATTTAAATGCAGTTAATTAGAATAAAAAATTAATTTTTCTAAGGCCCGGTTCTATCAATATAAAATTAACTTCAATCTTGGTTCAATTTACTTCTTAATATTTTCTAATTCTTAAAAAACGATAAACAGTAAGTTAAACCGAAATTGAATTTTTATTATTAATTTTTAATTCTTTGCATCTATTTGTAACAATCGCCGTTATACGTTAAAATGTCAAATGATTTAATTTTTCTTGTATTACGCATATCTACAAATTAGGATTATTTTCATTATTATAACATAAACTTAATATATTATTTTTAAATTAATTAGTACCTTTTAATCAACATATATTAAAGATAACCGTATTACAGATTTTGACGTCAACTCCGGAAAGTTATTAGTACTGTTTCCCGTGAAATTAATTACAAAATCTTTTCTCGATCTTATATTTCGCTTTTCGATACTATATTACAATTAATTTTATTCTATTGATCAAAATTGAACAATTAAAATGGAAACTATATAACTGGTATTACGAGATCAAAAACTTAAAAATTCTATAAAATCAATTCGAAATTACTTTCGGTTCCTGCGAAGCGGAGACCGGCTCCTCATCGCCTAAGCTTCCGTCGCCTTCACGACCGGGGTTGACGAGATTATCGGCTTCCACGAAGGGCCGTTCTTTCGTCCTCTCTTCAGAGAACCGCAGGAACGCGTTCGACGTAACGGCCCCATCGTTATCGCCGGCTCGCGAGGGCCTTTTCCTGACTGTCGACGACAGGAAGGACCAATCGAGCTCGAGCGCTGACAGTGGGCCGCATATCGCGTCCTTGTGAATCACACACGGACTCAAAGTGAACTCGGGGGCGCATCGAGTACATGGCCAGCACGAGGCACGTTCGGGGGACCAGAACTCCAGGCCGGGCCTGCAAATTGGATGCTGATGCTGCGACTGCTGCGGCGGTTGCTGCTGTGGCTGCGGTTGTGGCTGTTGGGTACCGGATGTTGCGGCTCCGGGGGCGGCGGAGGACTCGCACAGGCCGACGAATATCGACACCAGGGTCAACAGCAACCCGGGACAGGATTCCCTCGGCATTACCTGTTATTACGTACAAAGCTCATGAGATGGTTCTGATTTTAATCTCAAGGAGCAATCGATCATCAATAAATCTATTTCTCTCTCCCTCTCTCTCGCTTTCTCAACCCGTTATAATATTTGTGTAAAAGAATTAATCTAAAGAGTTAATCTAAATTCTAAATTATAGAACAGAACAAGAAGAGCAATCCATTTCATCTCAATCTGTTTATTATATATAATATCACGTATTTTCGAAACATAGTCAAAAGAGTTTTTTTTTTAATTAAATAAGAAAGTTCTACATACAACCAATACTGTAATAAATAAAATATTGCAATGAACGAATAAATAAAATATTTTCTTGACGAAGAAGGAATAATAAAACTGTGTACGTTTCGATTATTTTGCAAGTAAAACAGCATTTTTCGATTTATAAAGCAACTGATTAAGTTGCCATTAATTATTCTTAATTTTTAATTGCTAAAAATGATTTTTCTTTACGTTTGAGATCTTTTCCGCTAAAATCAAAAGTTTCAAACCAGAAAGCTATTGATTTCACGTGTGGCAGACAACAACAAACCTGTCATCTTTTCGTCGCGTATACGCATTACAATACATATAATACGGAGAGTCGACGATGTCGATCGCGGTCGATCGGCGTAATTCGAGCGTATAAAGCCGCTCTTTAGGCCGCAAAAGCGCTCGGACCGTTTCCACTTCCGGCTCGTTCGCGATGTAATTACATCCGCCGTTGAATCGCGATCCATCTACGTCATAGCTCGCGGCCAGCCGTCTACGCGCCTTCGTTTCCGCGCACGAGCGAGCGTGTATGCCGTTGTTACTGTGTGTGTAAATCGTACGTGCGTACAATGGTGTGGCGACTGTTGTATGTGGGTGCTGGGTGCACAGAAAACCTTACAATCTGCAGATTTTATGTGATCCACTGTACATGGTGCGCGTCATGAGCTGCGTTCATCAACACATTGTCTATACACGAGATTAATCCCTGTAATTAACACGTATAGAACCGTGGGTCTATAAATTAACCCAATCGGGATTCAAGATAAATCTAATTCTTTTTCCGAGGAAGGATTGTCATTATGAAAGTAAAATTACTTCTAATTAATTATGATTATTTATGGAAAGTTACAAAAATATAATGCTCCACGTGCAAATCCAAATAAACTGGGAAAGAAAAACTGTCAGATGGGTCGAAAAGGGTATAACTACCGCGGTTCTAGTATTAACACACCAAAACTCCGCTGTGACGAAAATTAAACCTCAATGTTTTATTTTAACTGTCGATGCGAAATATCTTATTATGAATTCAATTGTACCGAGTATTTCTATGTTAATTATACTTTTTGAAGAATTTCAAGAATTACGACAAGTGTGAAGGATTCATTGTTCATTATTGAGATATTTTCATTATATAATTTTTGTGAAAAAATAAAATTTGAGGATTTCATTTATAAATTGCTTATCAATAAAATGTCGAGATACAACATGGTCCAGATTCACAGACTTACTTTGTAGAATCAATGAGGTTCAGCGTAACCAAATTAATAAAAAAATATTGCGATTATAAATGTATATGTACAATTATAATTGTTCTTGTTGAATCAAAATCATTCACGTCATTTATTACAGTAAACCATCACTCTCGATGTTAAAAGTAAACCATTGATGAAAAAAGAATTCAGAGTACTCACTAAAATCAGCGTGCGTCAATCGACCGAAATAAGCGCACGCGCGCTATTTTTGTGGCTATAAATGCATCCGCTGAAAGTGTACGCGAACTTTTTCATTATCTAACGGTGATCCGATGGCGAGCCTTTTCAATGGAAGAGGACTCTTTTTTCGTGTGGCTCGCGCAGAAAGGCAAGCGTTGTTTGAACCAAAGGCGATAAGAACGGAAGAGAAAAAGGACGAAAGAACGTAGAATTTTTCAAATTTTGATTGAGATCCACCATATGTTTCAAGTCAGCTACAAAGAAATTTATATTTTATTATTTCTCTATTGTTGTTAAATATATTTTTGTTTTACAGATTTTCTTATTATAGAAATAAAATAAACATGTAAATTTTACGCGATATTTACGTAATATATCCAGCGTTCTTTTTGTGACAAAACGTGCAAGAATTAAAATTCTATATAATATAAAATATATCATATAAATATGTCTGATAAAATAATTGCATATAGTATTTTGAGAGATTATCAAACTTCTGCTCACTCATTAATACTATCTCAGATTACGACGTTAAAAATGAGAAGATACAACATACAAAACAAAATCTCTTTTTGTTTCTTTAATTGATAAAAACTGTATATCTCTCTGAAAATAAATTATGCATAACCAAAGATGAAACAAACTATTATTATATTTACAGCTATAATATAAAATGTTATAAAATTAATGAATATACAGAATAGGATATAAATAAGGGATACAATTTAATTTCCTCCTAAAATAAAAATACAGTTTTCGGTATTTCATAAGTTTACTTTTATCAATTACACGTACATCGTTTAATTAAAAAATATCTATATTCAAATACAAGTGGCGAGAACTTTTATTGCGTATTTTGCTTCTAACATTGCAATAATTTGAGATGGTAGTGATGAATGAAACGGGAGTTTCAAGACGAGATCTTGAATGCAAAATCACATGATAAACGTCGGCCTAGAAGAACGATACGTGATGGGCGATACACCTATCATTTGTACGCGCGAGGAGCCCGCATGATGTGGCATAAAGATGCTCCTCGTCCATTTCAAATCGCCGCGTGTCATATTTCTCCCGCGGGCACGTACATACATAAGGATGTCCACGTATGTGCACGCAATCGCGCGATCAGAATGCAGCGCGACACCCCGCGATCCGCTCGCGGGATTCGCTCGCTCTCGTGGGACTCCGCTCGTTCGTTCGTTGCAAATGCAATCTTCCGCCGCCGAGCTCATCTCTCTCCGTGATTAGGATGCCAATTGCACGCTTCGAAAACGATTACGGACACGAGTCGGTTGTCGCGGTGAGGCAACAGCATCGCTCGTGTGCCGTGTGCGGGGGAGAGGCCTCGGCGAGACGGATTGTTCGCAACCTTGTTCGAATAAAGGAATCTCCAATAGAAAATTTAAAAAAAAAAAATGAAACTGTGGTACACTTCGAGCCTATCACGAGATCCCGTTTCGTTTGAACGAAATTGTGATTTTTGGTGATATAGAATTCTTGGAGCGCTGAATTTTAGAAATAACGAAAATCAAATGATATATCAATTTACAACGTACGTTTCTGATTGATCGTTTATTAAATGGTACTCTCGCCGCTGTCCCGTCGTCGTCGACAAATGGCTTAACACGGCCACATGTGTGCCTCTAATAATAGTAACTAAAAAACTGCCCTGACTCCAGAGAATAAGGGCCTAAACCGGTTTATACGTTCTTCAACCTTGCATCTTATAGGCTCAGACGCAACTCTCTTTACAAGAAACGGATTTCTCGATCGCATTCGACGTCGTGGAAATAAAATCTTTTCGACTGTGATTTATACACGGAAAGAACGTGCTAAAGTATTTAAAAATTTATCTGGATACAGATATAAAAATAAATTTTGTTAGGTCATCAATAATATGATGAATAATTATGGAAGACTTTCAAACTGATTTGTGTATATGATAAATATCATTATATAATAATATTAAGTATCCTAAATAATAACTTTGTAAGTTTAAAGTTTTTAATTTTTCAGAAAAACTATCTTTTTCTTGTACAAAATTAAAATAATTATATCAAAATCGTAATTCCAGTAATTACTCTTATTATTATTAATTCAAAATCCTTTAAATTCGTTCAATAAACACCGCGTAAAGATATTAAAAATAATTGTAATACATTAATCAATTATATTAATTTGATATCTGTATATCGATAACAACTTATGTACATAAAAAATTTCATCACTGAAAAACGTCACGATATAACGTCCAATATAATACAATCGAGCCTATTTTTTCCAAAGTATCTTCATCATTGCACACAATTTCAACCAATAATTCATAATCGCAGAATAAATGGAGCTTTAACGCAACGGCAGTTTATAAATTTATCTGCAGGAAGAGGGGAATCCGCGATAGTGTTTTATGAGTAACGTCTGCCGAAGCGAAAGAATGCCGGCGCTTGATACAGCCGCACGTGTTCGCTTAATGACGCTAATAAGACGGTTCTTTCCCTCCCCGGAATGCGTGCAAACAGTTTTAAAGTGACGACCCGAATTACATTTCGTCGTGGACAATGGCCGTTTATCAGCAGCACACAATTATAGACATACAAAAAAACATTAAATGTTGAAAGAACAAGATAGTATAAATATGAGCAAAAATCACGTTTTCTAATTTTCTCTCTGTAATTCGTTCTCTATTCTTTAAATTAAAAGTTAAATATTTCTTCATAAAAATCTCATACAATTAATAGAATTGTAATATAACCAAACAATGATCTTAAAAGTTAAGTGTACGAAGCCAAAAATGTGCTTCTATCTTATAAATGTATCAAATACGTTTTCAATTAAACAGGAATTTACAAATATTGATTTTAACTTTTATAATGAGTACGATAGGCGAAGTTCTTCTCGGAAGGCAATATGGTACACCACGTGCCCGGAAAATCGTTTACACCACGTGCGATTCGGGATATAAATTCACTACTTTTCCCACGTTCTCGTAAATAATACACTCCCACCTGTTCGAACGGAAGGATTCCGCTTTGATGTACCTTCATTCACGACGAATTCTTGGAATATTTGATTTCAAGGAATTTGTGCGGCTGGATGAAGAGACTGGGTTATATTTTATACCGCGTTCATACAGTAAGACCTTCAAAAGACATCTTAAAGATGTTTAGAAGATGTCTCTACGTTTTAAAGACGTCCTCAAAACATTCACTGGATAAAGTATGCTGTATGATAATAATAATAATACGCGTTCTTCAAAATATTTATACGATAATGTTTCCGCCGACATAAATGTATCACAAGTTTCTCTATCCGCTTGCACTTCTGAATTTCAGTTAGCTGATATACTCTCTTTCGAATTGTTCGTAATTCAAATGTTATTGACAATCTGAATATTTACAAAAATCTTTCATCGTGCAGAATTTATGTTGGTTGTCCAATAATACTTCTTTATTATATGATTGATTTCTAACATTTAAATCCAATGAAGAACTAAAGGTAAAAACCAATTATATTTAAAAAATTACTGTTCTCACTGAACTGCTTTATTTGCTGAATGAATCATTACTTTGATATATAAACAATTATGATACGAATTTGAATGAGAATATTTAATCTAATTACAAACAAGAGAGAAATCCTGTATTTGCGGTCAAGGCGAATCTAAGTGCTTTTAAATATTTCTATGTTTATATGCGTATCTTAGGTATTCTGTAAACCGCGTACTGAAACTTTTTCGAGCTTGCAACACAGAATCAAAAAGTAATATTACTTATTAAATTGACAAGCAATTTAATAATTTTTGATGTTAATAAGTACTTTTATAAGAATTTTAATAATCCGATATTAATAAGTATTTTTATAAGAATTTTAATAATCCGATATTAATAAGGATCTTAATTCAACGAATAATTGATTGCGAAAAATATTTCAAAATCTGTTGTCTAAAATCTATATATGTTTTTTTTTTTATAAATAAATGAATGCTACTGTGAACGACTTCAAAAGATTCCCAAAAATTTATTTAAAATCGATGATCTGAGTGGAAAATACGGTAAACATCGAGAAAATATAAGATGGGTTTTTTGAAAATTTTCCAAAAGAGATTGATAAATTCTCATTATTGTTTGTTTACTATAGAGGAAACTGTCGTCAAGATTCACCGATCAGTCGTTAATGTCTCCAGTGACATTTTTAATTTCTACTTTGTCCACACAGTGGGCGAGTATCCGATCGGAACGAGACGTTCGTATGCGAGTTTATCTACGATCTTCAGTGGTGAAGAGGCACGATTCGACGGTGCTTTCGAGGAACTCATTGACGTGACTGCCGTGACACGAGGACGTGGCTCGCACAACGCGGGAAACCTAAATACTTCGCGGACATGTCCGCGCCGACGACGACAAAAGGCCGTTACACGACCGTGCCGACGTGAGAATGTATAAATCTGCGTTTAAGTAATGCGACGAGGGATCGTTTGAACCGCTTGTCGTAACAATCACGTGACGAAAAACAAAGAGTTTGCACTACATTAATAAATTTTTGTAAAAATTTAAAAAGCGGAATATGCATTGTACATAATTCTTTTCATTCTGTATTTGTATGAAAAAAATTTCAATTAGTAATAATTTGTTTATTTAAAAAAAAATACAAGTATAAGTAAAAAGAGAAAGAAGAAGAAAGAGAGGAAAAAATGAAGAGAGATCCAATTAAATTAATATAAAATAAGATATTCTTATATAAAAGTATATTAAACATTTAATTCAGTGTGTTTGGTTGCTTAAATCAATATTCATCATATAGACACGTCAATTTTAATTCGACTAAAAAATTTGCTACTGAGATCGAGTTGTTAGATCCAAGGCACAATGAAGAAAAGAAGTTGTTGGAGTATCCGTGGTACAAGTTTAGAACGAACGAAGTACAATCGTGCGAGATGGCGAATGGCAAGGATGAAACGGCAGTCTTTGCTCCGGCCACGCGACGGATACCGGCCGGTCCAGCGCGCACACAGTTTATTTTCAAGCGAGATCTTCAATAAACATCGAAAAAATAGCTCCACTTTAGCGCGAGGATCCCGGCCACGTGTTTTATATACCGGCGTCGAAATCGATCGGGAACGTAAAGCGGATCCAGAAGGTTGTCAAAGGAGGGGCCATTGGCTCGCCGCAAGCAAAATTTCTTCAAGGTAAAATATGAAGATATAGAATATTAAATTATTATTTAAATTATTATACATTGAAAATGTATTATTTAAATGTATAATTCATAAAACGTTTTATTTAAAATTTAAAACCATATATTAACATATGAAAAAAGTAATATAATGGAATCTATATGTTTTTATATCCAAAAATTTCTCAAATCAAAAAATATTTTTGGAATATTGAAATTGCGACTAAACATTTTAGAAATATTAAAAATACATATAACATTTTCTTATATAGTTTTAAAAAAGAAGATGATTCGAGATGGCCTCCATGGCTCTCCTTGGTTTTCCAATGAGCGGTTTTCGGCGTTGGAGGAGGTGAGGGAGAGAGCAGATTTCGGAAATTGATCGTTTTTGTTTACGTTGAGTGCGCATCGCGAGTTTAGCACGCGATGTATCACCCCGTGAGCGTGTCGTCGCACCTGTTTTCAACCGCCACGCGTTGATGTCCCGCGCGCGTGGGCTTGGATGTGACTCGCGGACATCGTTCGGGGACGCGTTTTATTTACGATCATTACGCGTCGGCTTAATAATTTTTAATCCAACATTGTATAATTATTACACGATTTGTAATAATATACTGTGTGATTCGTATGAATTTATATACGACAATATTATTTAACGTAAAATATGATTTTATGTTTGTTAATTAAATGCTGTAAAGGGTACCGTAATGATTAGTTCAAATTTTGCAAAACAGTTTTAGTCTATACTCCTGAGAAGCAAATTTTTTCCTAGCAAACTGTATAATACGAACAAAATCATGAGTTTATTTTATAAGTTAAAAAGAAAAATTGATGCAAAAAAGATATTATTACAAAATGTAACATTATTATTACAAAAAGAAGAAAGAAACAAATGAAATATGAGCCAAACGATTCGATCGAATAAACAGTGTAATATTCTATTTAATCAGACTATTAAAAAAAATCCTGTATTAAAATCTTAAAAAAATATCCATGACGGAAAATTTTACAATTTTTCAGTAACGCAAGCTCGTACCGAATACTCCAATTTTTTTTTTTTTTATTATAAAGTTGAAACATAAAATTTTAGATTTTATATGTATGAGATATGATGGGATATATATATACGCGACACATTTTCCCTTACGAGAAGCGTATACCGGCGACGCGAAAATGCCCGCGATTTGTCGCACCGATCGAATTAGATCAACATCATCGCCGCGCGTTAGCTAGCACGGCACATACTCACGCTGCCTTCGGTAGAGTCGTGTTTGTCATGATGTAATCCGAGGCGATGTGGCCGACGAGGAGGAAGAGAAGGTGGAGGAGAACGAGGAGGGGAAGGAGGCGTCGTTGCAGCCCCGAGTGACAATATCTCGTGAATCGTCACTACATCGCGTGGACCATCGGGGACGGTCTCTGGCACTGTGTGTCAATAACCGAAGTTCGTTGGCGAACCATCAGATTTTCCGACCGGAAGTAACGACGAAGAGGAGAGGAGGAAAGAGACCGAAATATAAAAAGGAAACGAAGGAAACGCGTGAGCGTCGCGACGCCCGTCACGCTGTCACTCCTCGGTGAGTGACGACGACAAGGCGGGACAATATCGTCAGCGTAAAAGCGGAGCACTCGGAGGTCTTCTCGCCACTCTCGAGATACACACCGAAACGCACACGCAACACACAGAAAAACGTGCGTACCGTCGCACGGTCGCGACGCGACTAGTTATACAGACTGATTTCCGCCCACGACCTAATCGCGACGAGTTGGACGGACGGACGGACGGACGGGAGAGAAAGAGAGGGAGCGTCTCGTTCGTGAACGTGGAAAGAGATGGAGCAGAAGAGAGAGAGAGAGAGAGAGAGAGGGGCAGAGGAAGGTGAAGAGAAGGATATCGAGAGATGCAGGGACGTTTTATTGCCTAGGCCCGCGATCTAGGGCCCCTCTGTGATTTATTAGACGACCGAGAGAACTTCGCCTACGTTCTCTCTCCTTCTCTCTGCGGTTGCAAGAGTTGTCGTGTGTTTGAGAAAATTTCGGATAGATGTATGTTTATAAGCGTCGCAATGAATTATAGATTAAAAGTCCTTCTGTTACTCATAAATTTTATAAAAATAAATTATTACGTACACTCTTTATATCTTTGTTGTCTATGTACATGTAATAAAAGTGTACGTGTAATACACATAATTATACAATTTGTCGGAGGCTTTACATTTTTAGCAAATTATATAAAGATAAGAAACATAGGAACATTTGTATAATTTTGATAAAAATATATCTATAAGAATATTTTTATAGATATATTTCTTATCAAAATTGCGATTATTATGATATATAGTATAATTGATTATAGTACAACTATTGTGTTATAGTGAACTAAATTATTCAAGAGAAAAGAAATTATTCATACAGAAATCGTGTCTAAAGAAATGAAAACAGACAAAAGAAAAAAATTTTTATATTAATAATAATAAAGTTTTTATAATAATAATAATTAAAGTATATAAATCGAGACATACGCAATTCAATATTAATATATTTAATCGAACTCTTTAGCCTCAAAGACTTTAATCCCTCAGAAAGATTAATAAAGTGAAAAATCGACAACCATTGCTTTAATAATCAAGGCCTTACATTTATTTTATTTATTTACAACAAATGGACTCTGGAGTTCATAAATGCGATAAAGAAACGGAGGAAGCACAGAGACTGGTCGGTAGGAGAAGAAATTTTCTCCGAATAGAGAGGAAGAAAAGGGATTGCCTTGAGATCTGAGCAAGGGGGGCTGAAGGGGTCCGACAAGTTCTGCGCCACTCTCCGTTCTTACGTTGATCTCCTCTCTTACCTGAGATGATTAAACCCGCGGGAGATAACGGCCTCGAAGCGCGGAGTGGTCCAGCGTCCTCCCGTCCTCAGTCCCTCTGCATTCCACGATGGTATTAACCCTAGAACCGAGCGGAATGTTGGATAGCGACTGGCTGACTGGTCGCTTCTCGATCACCTGTAAAGCCTGCAATATAGATGGAAAAAGAAGAATTGTTAATTTGACAAAGGAATATATAATTTAATTTAATTTTAATATAAATTAATTCATATAAAAATTAGTTAATATAAAAATGATTCAGAGTTTGACGGATCTCACAATGATCTAAAAATTCTAAATAAATACGCTCTCATTATTTAGTCTCGTTACTTCACGATCCATTTTTCTTATGCAAAATAGAGATTAACTGTACGTCTCTCTTTACTAAGAAAAAATTATTTAATCTTTAATACATATTTCTTTCAAAAGCACTGAGTAAACATAAGCTTACAATAAATAAATATTTACTCAATAAAAAAATGATGGTTAAATAAAATTAATGGTGTGACAATTATCATTATGACTATTTTTGTAAATATATGGATACACGGACCAACTAATATTTTCACGCATAGATTTGCAAATTTTTTGGTATGTTTTGCGCATCGTTAATTTTCATTCCTAGAATTTAAGATTACAATCTTTTAATTAATATATGTTCATTTATTGTTTTCAGTTATATATTTAACTATGCACAAGATTTTCTTTTGTATTGATGTTTGTCCATAATTATGTACATCTCAACGTTAAGTGTTTCATCTGAAGAGGACCAGATTTGGTGGTCGAAACTAGTAATATAATTAACATCTGTTTTTTTAATCGTTACATTTATGTAAATTTTATAAGTTCACTTTAGAATATATGTATTAATTTGTTGTTAATTTTATTTTCGTTTGACTCTTACAATGCCATTTCCACGTTTATAAAATTAATGGTTTTAGTATATCACAAATAAATATATCTTTATATTTGATAAATATTTTATTTAAAAATATTCAGACAAATATTTATATTAAAATTTTTTTCAGTCTTTTACAGCACATATCTTGGATTGCGACTAGGAAGCCATCGCCGTTAGATATTAGAGCGCGATATGTACAACTAATTATATCGAGCGGCATTATTAATCATCTCCGGAATAACGTATTCCGCGCGATCTCTCGCGGATCCCGCGATCTCATTACAACTTTGTTGCATTCCTGGCTAATTATCGTCGCTGCACGTGGGTAAGCACGTGGCCGGCGTAATCGCGCGCGCGCGCGCGCGCGTTTTAATCTGCTCGGCAAATCTACCTGAATGCGCAAATTGCACACACACCATGCCGAATTGCATAATAGTTCGGCCAGGAGCGATAACGTCCGCCCAAGGAACACTTAAAAGTCAACAAGAAATTAGAATGACACTTTATTGTAATTCTTGACGTCAATAAACGGACAAATTTTCTAACAATGAAACAGTCTATGAAGTTTTTTATAATGTTTTGACGTGTGAGACATGCGGCCTTAAATTGACCCACATTGTATTAATTGATACCATAATATAATATTAAAAAACATTAATAATTTAGATATTAATATTGTATATTTAATAGGATATACTTTATTTCTTTTTAAAGATAATGATAATTTTGAGACGAAGATAGATCAAGTATTCATTTAGATCATCGAGATTTGTCGAACGCTGATAAATTTAAATAATGATATTACAAAATGATCTCTCTTTTGAAAAAAATTATCATCATTTTGATTTTTATAACATCAAAGTAAAGTCATTTTAACTTTCCCTTGACCTGATGTGTTCTTTGAGTGACGGTTTCCATCATAAGATCTATCCATTAGGTGTTTTTGTATAGCTGTTGACACATCAAATTCATAATTTTCGTCCCTTCGTCATTAACGTCACATAATTAAGATTTTGATTACGAATTCTATTTGCTACGTACTGGAATACCAGACTGCTGCCAGAAGGCAGTGCCAATTAAAACTTAAGAAGAAGAAGATCATTTCGGGTGGCTTAATTCATTTCGGGGCGGGGCTCGTTACCGGCGCGATCGCAACGGTGATATCATTCGGACTTACAGGTGTAAATTTATTCCCCGCGCATCGTCGAAGGAACTTAATATATCGTTTCGTTCACGCGGCTTTCGTTATTCGCGTACACCGCCGCGGCCGGTCCGCCGAGCGTTACGAATCAGGAAACGGAATTAGGGAAACGGAAGGAAACGGGTGGAGGAGCGAGACTAGTTAACGGTGACGAGGCGTACATATGTACGCGTTATTGCTCTCGGAAGCGTCAGTCAACAGGGCTGGCAGTGTTCAATGCGAACATATATCGAATGTAACCACGATTCGCCATTGGCTTCATAGACAACATTTAAATTTATTTAAATTTATTCGTAATATTGTACAATACCTTCCTTTGGGTAATTATATTCTATATAAGTCCTAAATTTTATATTAATCCTTTATTTCAAAATTATCACATCTGTCTCTAAAAAAATTAAGTATATTCTGTATGGATATATATGTGTATAATTAATATCTGAATTATTCTTTTTAATATTATTAGAATATCAATTAATATAATGTGTTTGTGTGTTCAACCTAAGACTGCCAGTGTTACGTGTTAAATCGAGATCAAAAATATAAAAATTTTGTATCGTTCTATTGTTGCAATTAAATTGTGTAAAATTGGTTCTTTTATTGATTTATTTATTTTTTTGTTAGTTTTGATTACGTAAAAAATTGTGATTTTTAAATAGGTATAATTTGACAAGATCGTAGCGAATTAAATCATATTTTTATATATTTTAATAAAACTAATAATTATTAGCGCAAAAATTCATTTGGATCTATTTACTCATTTAAAAGTTATTTATTTAAAAAGGACTGCAGTAAAATATGATCGATTCGCTGTATAAAGTCAAATTATTTGTTTTTTTTTTTGTAGTTAGTTTTAGAATGTATATATATTGAGACACAAATGTTTTAATTATTGTGTCATATGACTAATTTACATTTTTTACTATTGATTATATAAATATTTTTAGCTGGTATATTATAGCTTTTTTGAGTTGATCTTTGATACTTTAGCAGTTAGCTAATATCGCATAGCCAAAATATCCTTAATATCACTGGTATTTTATACCTTTTAGTTTCTTATTTTATTTTTAATACTGCTTAACGTTATTTCTATATTTCTTTTACGTAATTATTTTAAATCCAATTATCGTAGCGAAAAGTGCAGTTCAAATCTACTCGCCTAATCCGCTCCTGAACCGATCTAGGCAATTTCTACGAATGACTTAAAGTGAGGAGACGTTTTCACTTCCTGTCTTTTCCCACGGCGAAATGTCCCAAAGTATCACCCCGACGTGATCTTGACATACGTTTACTACGTTTAGTTCGGCAGACAGCATCTGGAGCTGGTCTGTCGTCAACGAACGAAGGAAAGAGCTTACCTACTTCTCTCAATTTTACTCTCTTACTCTCTTACTCTCTTTCTCTCTCCTTCCGCTCGCTTCCGTATTCCTTTCTATATGTCATCGTATCAAATAACGCCAGCAATTGTGTCCCATTGGATATTACATAGCAAAAGATATAGAAATAAAAACAGTATAAAATATTTACATTGTACCATTAAACATGAAACAATACCAGGATTTATAAATTAATAATACTCTAACACACAATATGCATAATATTATTATTTTTATAA